GACCGTACTATTACCGTCAGCCATCCGCAGTCGATTGACAAGAGCGATCGGTACGGTATTATGGCATTGGTTCGCTCAGTCTGGAAGCCGTGACGATGCATGGTCCTGGATCACATCAATCAATACCGACCGCTGTGGCGTTATGTTGAATGGCAAGAACTACAGTATGACGTTGCATACGATACGTATGGGGACCATTCGGACAAGCAACGGCACGAAGCCATTGGGTACCATATATATAGTCAACCACAGTAGCAACACTACTTCTACTAGCTAGTACAGATGTCATGATTGGAGGATATTCGTCCAGTCTGACGCGCACCATTGCCCCCATTGTCCAAGCACACAACATGGATCTCGTGGCAGGAGGTTCTTCTCAAACCAAATGTCTTTGAAAATCGCTCTCACGTCTTTTGGCATTATTCCTCCCGGTTCTTCGGTTCTAGCACCAGCGTTGGAAGGAGTGGCGAGGCAAGGCGCCAAGACGATTGCGTCCGTGGCCGAAGAGGGATCCGGCACCTGTGATTCTCTACTGCCGCTATATAGCCCAACAATCACAATTTGAGAGTATTGGCAGATCCCATGGGATCAACGCGATTGTTTGACCAAATCCACCTGTGGTGCCACCGGAGGAATCTGTCAACAGAATGGAACCTGTGCCTGCACCCAAATAGACAATGCCATTACATGGTCATTGGTGTCCGTTGGAGCAGGGGCGACGGCAGCATGTAAATTGTTGCCAGAGGAAGACATGAACTACATGCAAGAGTGGTGGGTGTCCATTGGCATTCTGTTGGTGGTCCTGCAGTTTGTCTTTTCCATTCTGTTTTCCGCATGGACATTCTGCTATCGAGAGCATCCCATCATCAAAGCATCCCAACCGCAATTCTTGTGGATGATTGCCTTTGGCTGTTGTGTCATGGTAACTGCCATTATTCCCATGTTGCCACAAGGAGAATATCGCCATGTCCAAAACCCACTCACGTCCCGTGAGACCAATATACCCAAGCCGGAAATTATAAAACTCGATGCGGCGTGCATGGCATTGCCATGGATGGCCTGTCTGGGATTCACCATTATCTTTTCCGCATTGTTTGCCAAGATTTGGAGAATCAAAAAGATCCATTCCCATGCCGAGCGGTTCCGGCGTCAAGAGGTCATCATCCGAGACGTCATCAGTATCATGGTCGTCATGTTGGTCGAGGAGACTGCCGTCTTGCTCACGTGGTCGTTGGTGGATCCTCTTCAGTGGAATCGTACCGTCTTGACGGAAGATGCCGATGGGTATCCCATTGAATCGGCGGGATCCTGTAGTTCGGATTCTACCGTCTACTTTTTGTCCACGCTGGCGGTCTTTAAAGGTGGCTCGTTGCTGTATGCACTCTATTTGTGCTGCATGGATCACCCGCCGCATCCCTTCGGACTTTCAAGAAGGTCGATGGATTGCATTGTGTGTCTATTCCATCTTCCAATATCTCATCATTGGCATACCGGTGCTGGTGATTGCTTCCGATGACCGAGATGCCACCTTCTTTGTCATGTCCGTGGGGCTAATCTTGGTCAGCGCTACCGTCACGTTTCTCATTTTTGGGCCAAAGTTGTGGAAATTCATTTGGATGGATCCCAACAATCCCATGGATATGTCTCTTGTGGTTCGCAAATTCGCCATGAGATCTTCGACAATCCCCAATCCGCAGTATGGTACGGACACTAATAGTCACGTGCAAGATTACACCCGGTCTTTTGCGACAACACGTGCCAGTCAAACGCAGGATTTCACGAGACGTGCCGTCTCCACAACAACTGAGAAATGGAGTCCGAAAGAGCCACAGTGTCGTGGAAGCGGCGTATCGCATCCCGGCGAGTTTGAAAATAATGATTCGGAACCCGACAACGTTGAGATGGCGCTCCAACCGCTGGAGTGTGCTTCGAACGATGATGCCGAGGATGACGACGGCGACCACGATGTGCCCACTGGTTCGTAAGAATCGTCATTCTGGACTGCGGATTCGTTATTGAGGCAATGTAACATCTCGTGGACGTCGCGCCAGCAAGCTAGCTACTAGCTAGTGGCAAAAGAAATGGGAGGATCCAAGAAATCCCGTCAGCTCCAGACCATTTGCAGCACGGCATCGCGTGGAATGTCTCCAATGGTTCCACATACGGACTACTGTACGGTGGACTCGACTTGCTTTTGAGGCACGTTCTTGTGCATGAACCTTTTCGTCGGTCCAGTTAGTTGCTTTTTGAAAAACGTTTGGGCTGCTGCATGACGGATCTCGAGTCGAGTCGCTCCGCACGAGACTTGCTGCGTCACTTGACGACGGCTTGCATTCGGCTGCGCCTTAGCTTGGTGGCTGGCTTACCGAGATAGCTCTTCTTGAACACAGTATGGGAGGGGGTGGCTAGCTTAAGGAGTAGAATACCAGTAGTATGACCTCATGCACAGATGGGAGACAGGTGCAGTTCCGGCTTGGCTACCTGCGTGGTCCGACACTTCAGCATCATCGTGAAGATGCAAAGGCTAGCATTGCTTTTCTTTCAAGAAGTATTCTTTTTGAATGTTGGGCTTTAGCATGAGAAAAGCGGTGGCTTTGGCTGCTCTTGGCATTGTAGCGCTACTCTTCCATGGTTGTGGTTGCTGGCTGGGCCCGGTACGGTGTCGGTTGGTACCCTGTTCCTGTCATACGGTACCAGCACAGGAGGACCAGAGAGAAAACGCATTTCCTGAACGTTCCAGAGACTTTGTAGGATCTCCGCGGTAAGTCTGTCATTCCATCAGGCTCCAAAGAAGCACGCAGTGCAACGCGGCAACGATTATTCACCCACCTCCCTGTCTCACGGGACCTTGATTGCATGGGTTGTCAAAAGGTATATCTTAGCCGCCTCAGCCAGAGCATCTTCTCGTCCCATTCCTCCTTCAATTACTAGCCAGTTAGATAGTATTGAATTGTCGACCATGGCTTCTGAGAGTATTTCTACTCGTATTGGTACCAGTACTGTTGCTAGTACTGTTGCTGCTGCTGCCAATACTGCTACTAATGATAAAGGTACTACCACTGCTATCGAGTCTCCTCTTCTGTTTGCCGACGATTTGATTTTGGTCCAAGGCATGCTACCTTATGTTGGCGTTGGGCAGTACGCTTTTATAGGAGCTGTGAACAAAAAGATGAATCAACTGTACAAAGAGTACTGCACAATTGAACTCAAGGAAAATCCAAAAATCGTAAAAGATTTCCCGTTGATTCACCCGTTCAATGGCAGTCGCTCTGCAGAAATCACCGACACTTTTTGCAATGAAACATTCTGTAACCAGCAACGTGCAGAATACTGGCTCAAGGAAAATTCCAGCGACAAACAACCTAATCATGATCAAGTTTGCAATGTGATTGCCAGATATGGAAATATTATGGTCATGAAATGGGCACGGCAACAAGGATTCGATTGGCGTGAGCGGACGTGTGCTGGAGCAGCTAGAAATGGACATTTTGAATTACTCCAATGGTTAAGAGAGAATGGTTGTCCATGGAATGGAGGGACATGCTCCAATGCTGCTGAAGGTGGCCACTTGGAAATCCTAAAATGGGCTCGTGAAAATGATTGTCCATGGAGTACAAATACATGCTGGGCTGCTGCTGAAAATGGCCATTTGGAAATTGTAAAGTGGGCTCATGCAAATGGTTGTCCATGGAATTATCACACTTGTGCCGTTGCTGCTAGAAATGGGCATTTGGAAATTGTAAAGTGGGCTCGTGAAAATGTTGTCCATGGAATGACAACATGTGCGTGCTGCTAAAAATGGCCATTTGAAATTCTAAAGTGGTTGCAGAATGGTTGTCCATGGAATGAGGGACATGTGATGCTGCTGAAGGTGGCATTTGAAATCCTAAAATGGGCTCGTGAAATGATTGTCATGGAAGCAAATACATGCTGGGCTGCTGCTGAAAATGGCCATTTGGAAATTGTAAAGTGGCTCATGAAATGGTTGTCCATGGAATTCACACTTGTGCCGTTGCTGCTAGAAATGGGCATTTGGAAATTGTAAAGTGGGCTCGTGAAAATGTTGTCCATGGAAGTCAAGTACATGTGAATATGCTGCTAAAATGGCATTTGGAAATTCTAAAGTGGGCTCTGAAAATGGTTGTCCATGGATGGAACACTTGTCGGCTGCTGGAAATGGCATTTGGAATTTTGAAGTGGGCTTGAAAATGGTTGTCCATGGATGACAACATGTGGCGTGCTGCTAAAATGGCCATTTTGAAATTCTAAAATTGTCGTGAAAATGGTTGTCGGTGGAATGAGGTGACATGCTGGGCTGCTGCTAAAAATGGGCATTTCGAAATTCTAAATGGGCCTGAAAACGGTTGTCCATGGAATGCAGATACATGCTGGGCTGCTGCTAAAAATGGGCATTTGGAAATTTTGAAGTGGGCTTGTGAAAAGGGGTGTCCGTGGAATGCAGCAACATATGGAGCTGCCTGCAGGACTAACCAAAGCAAAGTGATTCAGTGGCTACACGACAATGGCTGCCCTGGGTCTCGACATGAAGGTCACTAATATTTCAACATGGTGAATGTGAAGGTCACGAATTGAATGAGTCAACCAAAATTAAGTAGTGTTTTTCCTCCTTGCAGCCCATAACCAAGTGTCATTGTCAGAGGCGATTGCAAGCACTGAATCGAAACACTCCCTCATTGCTGAAATCGTATAGCTACTGTCAACGCAAGAACCACACTGCATGCATATATTATGAGTCTATGTACAACTGCATTGTTTTACTTCGTATTCGCTGTTTACTATGTGTTCGTTACGAAAGCCTCGTGGAAACTCTTTGCTAAAGCATGAAAGTGCATGCTGCGACCATCCAGACAGAAAAGGCGTGACCCATTGTAATGGCCGCACTTCCAGCTAAGGAACTCTCGTCCTCTGCGTTTGCGTCCTCAAGGTCTGATGACCCACTACTTGAGGGAGCTTCACTTTCGAAACACATTCCCACAATCTGGTCTACCTCCCCAGAATGGAGAGATGAGTGACCCAGCTTTGCTGTCTCCATGGCCACCTGATGTCCGACATTGGTCACCGCTGCCTGGATCATTGGGTCTGCAGCCTCCATTCCAGGCATGCCTTCAGCGCACGAGTACAAGTTGGAGAGCATGAATTGACACTCTTCGCTGCCGTAGTGGCATACGTCTCTCATGTCGTCAATCAAGACTTCCATGTACGTTTCCTGGAAGAGCTCGTCCAGCGAGATATCTTCACAGGCTCCACAGTAGGAAGCGCAAACGTCGTTGACAATAACATCTCCCATTTCGCTCTTGTAGGCGCCCCCACAGCCTTCGCTCTCCGGTTCGTTTACGAACACAGCGCATTCGCATAGCCCTCCGAACCGACAGATTGGACTTTCGGCCAAGGCGTCGCTGCAGCCTAATGGGGCGGGAGCGGGAACTGGACCTGTTTGTACCGCCTCTTCTTGTGCCGCCACTGCCTCATTATTAATATTTCCAGAGCAACCACAGTAGTTGGCGCACACAGACCTGACCTCAATGTCACCCATGGCACTGGCATAGACTCCATCACATCCATTGGTTGTCTCGGGGGCATTTACGAAATCAGCACACTCGCACAGTCCTCCAAAAGTGCAAGACGGATTGTCTTTCAAGGTGTCCACGCAATCCTCTCCAGAAGTTATTGCTGCTGCCACGGCTTCGGAAACGCCACATCCACAGTACTTGGCACAGACGCTGCGGACTTCAATGTCACCCATGGGACTGGCATAGAATCCATCGCATCCCGAACTCTCCTCGGCAGTCACAAACGCTTCACACTCACAGAGCCCTGCGAACGTACAGCTCGGACTTTCCGCCAAGGTATCGACACAGTCATCGGCTTGACGTGACGAAAACGCAGCATTGGTCTCGACGGGTGGTTGTGGCTGGAAGGGAGTCATGTCAATCATGGGCAACATGTTGGTATCACAGGTTGGTTGCATACACACGTTGACCGTCATGTTGGCACTGGGCGCCGTCACTTGCTCGGTGTCGGCCACAAAGAGGAACCAGTATCCCATGACTCCCGTGTGCAGTTGAGTGGCATTGTAGTCCGTGACAAAGCGTACGATACGATCCGCGGGGAACGTTTTGGGTGGATCATAGTCATCGACGGCGACTGCCGTCAAAAAGCCCGCATTGGTGTCGGGATTGGTACCGTAGGTGGTCTGTCCATCACAAAGACGCTCTCCGGTGACGGTATCTTCGAGGTACATTTCGATCGATGCAACGTGCAAGTGTGCCACACATCGCAAGAGCTGCACTTGGTTGGGTCCTGCATAAGGCCTGGAAAAGAAATCCTCCTGGAAGAGTTCGTTGAATGGTCCTTCCTTGATCAAACGCTATATAGAGAATGTCATGACGATCGAGGCGCAGTGTTAGAAACTCGCCACTTCAAAGACACAAGTCACAGTCACGCATCCAAGTTAGCTTACCTGAACGGCAGGATTCTCGGGCGATTGTTGATCCGCGGGCAAGAACTGGGCACTGGGGACATCGTGTTCGAGGAACTTTCCCACGGCGGTGGAAATGTCGGATGTCAATTGCGCTACTGTGGCAATCGGTGGACTATTAGGTGTGATGTCCCGGTAGGTGACATTGTATCGCATACGATAATCGAGTTTGGGTTCGGTGAGACTGGTGCAGTTCCTGCAGCAGTTGACTCCTCCGGTAATGTTTCCCGTGTTGGTCAAGGCATCAAAGTACGTGTTGGGTGCACCGACGGGACAACGACATTCAATGCATCCCAACCAGTCGTCGACTTCTCGCAGATCAATCAAGTGAAAGACCATCGAGTTGCCTTCATCGCCCGAGAGGCGCGCGTACGGTGGAGTAAAGGCGGCATCCGGAGCCGTTTGCCGCACTCCTTCAGTTCCTTGTCCAAAGATGACGCTTCCCGACAAGTGATGGACATAGAGCTGGTTGACGGGTGCTGGAACGACAGTACCATCGGGAGTATCGTAGACGAATTCAAAAGTTCGTTGTCCCAGAGCGACACGTCGATCGGTAGGGTACGGATATGCCATGAGGAACAATCGATTGACGACTCCTCCGGGTGTAAGAGTGGCAGGACCACTGAGACACGATCGGTAGAACGTGTTGGGTTCTCCAGTTGGTTCTGGGTCCGTGCACGAGGAGCGCAACATGTTGGCTTGCTGGGCATCGTTTTGACTGACGGCACCGGATTCTTGAATCTCGTTGCACGCTTCTGTAGAGGTTCCCAAGGAGTAGCTCGAGACGACGGTGGGTCGATCGGCCGCAGGATTTCCGGCAAATGCCGATACGGCGACCTGGACCTTTTGTGTTCCACTGGCACAATGATCTCCCACTTGGCAGGCAAAGTAGAGTACTTCTCCCGTGTCGTCACCCGCAACGGCATAGTCATAAGGTGATTCTCCCACTTGTGCCAAGAGCGTGGCATCGGTAAAGTTACAGTTCAAAAAGTGTTCCTTGGAGGCCATCTTGTACACATTGTGCGCTTGGTATTCAAAGTGCAGCTTGTCGCCTGGGTGAACACCACTGGAAATGGGTGAGTAGCAAACACCGTCGGTCCAATCCACTTGCGAGGGAACCATGTCCTCGTCTTGGCCAATCACAATCGTCATGGCATTGGCGCCCACAAACACCGTGTTTTCCACCACAAAGCCATGGTCTTCTTGCTCCTGTGCTGTCTGGGCCTTGGCATCCCGTACTGTCATGCCGGTGGCCAATGCCAGCAAACAAACACTCAACGATCCAAATCTCATTGTGTTGATATGTAATATCAGTCAATGAGTCTCAAAGTTTGGCAGTTTCTTCTTCTCGCTCGAAAATATGAGAGAAAAAGAGAGAGGGAGATGCTGATAAAGCATCACCGTTCAATCAGCCTAGACTTCGCCGATCGTCACTTCAACGGTGGGTCCACTCAATTGGCACGAATAGTACAGCGCCCTGTAGAAAGCAAATGTCTTCCTACGCAGAGGCAATAACGTGCGCTCGGTGGGACTTGATGATGCACTGCCAGTACCATAGCTCTCGGAAGATAGATTTAGAGCAGAGGATTGGATTCGGTACTACTAGTACATATATATGTCACGGCGGCGAATGATGCTGGATCTTCTTTAGGCTGTTTGCGCATGGTGTGTCATCGTGCAGAATGATACAGTACGGTATCTGCACTGGCTGAGTCAGAGGTGGAGCTGTCAGAGTCACCGGAGTTACCGTGCTGGATTCAGTCGTCATTTTTTATTATTAATATAAAGTGACGTTGTCGATCGTACATGTAAATCCTGTAGGAGTACTAGAGTAGTACAGACAGCTACGTTGAATGAACGCTATGAACAGAAGGGAATTCAGTGGAAGCAACGTTCCAGCTCATCAGTTCAACCTTCCGTAAAAAGCTGATGTCATACCGGAAAATTTTTTAAGCTAGAAGTTAAAAGGATGGGCCCCCGCAGGGGGCTTAGAAGTTTAAAGATTGGGCCCTTGGGGCCCAACCACCAAGCTAGCTAATGGGAGTGGAACACATGGCCTTCTGGCTGGCCCTCAAAGCACTGCAGCAGAACCTCTTTCATCTCTGGCTTTGTCTTTTTGATGGACTTTCCCAGGACCCTGGCCCAATTCTTCATGTCTGCGAAGCTTGTGGAGGAGTCCAACAGCTTGGCTTTGGTCAGACCGCCTTGCTTTGGAGCAGCCTTTCTCTTTCCAGTGGCATGTTGATTGATGGCGGCCATCTGAACCAGCATACCGGTACCCCCCTGTCTGAGCAAAGCTTTGGCATGCTGGGGCCTCAGCCTACCCCTGAGACCAGCGTTGCCCTGCCCCATCATGTCGAAGTGCATTCGATCAAATGATTCGGCAGCGAGCTCGGCAACGTTGTCCGTGTTGGCGGCGCTACCATAGTGTTCGATTGCATGCCTGACTGAGCTATCTTGCCAACAGCCGCCAAGAGCACCATGCCGTTGTCGTCCACCTTGGGGAACCGTTCACTGGAGTACAGGTCCCGGATGTAGTGATCGATACCAGCCGGTGCCTCTTTCGTACTCGCACTCATCGTCTTCGGAGGATGGCGATGAAAGCGGCTATATCCTCGGCTGCGGTGAGTACCTCTGTACCTCTGCGGCTACTGAATGCGGTAAGTACACCTCTGCGAAGTACCTCTATGGCTACTATTACGGATGGGATGACCTCGGTTATACTGTCTTGCTTCACTATCTCGCTCAATTCGAAATCCTCTGGATGCATGCTCCGTCGGTCTTTCGAAAACAACACGAAAACAACACGAAAACAACACGAGAGACTGATCGAGCTGACACAGAGATGCGATGCACGACTGACGTCATCGAAAAGATCGAACGATTCTGATTGGCTAATATGGCTCTACATCGGCCTCTACAGCGGTAGGCCGATGTCGGCACGACGGTCCCGCTGTACTTTCTGTACCAATCCTTTTAGCTTCTGTGGTGCGAACTACCGCTACCGATAGCTCATCCATTTCCTTTCTTCGTAATCTCGCTCACTGAGCCTCGAGCCCGCCATACTGTACCTAGCTAGACTACCTGTACTACATGTACCCAAAACTACCTGCTGCAATACACGGCTCTTAGCCTTATTCGCGACTCGATCCTAGATAGGATTTGAGTTCGACTCATGACTGAGTCTCTCGTGAATAGTCATTGAGACAGGGTACTTCCAGTTGGCTTCGAACCGGACGTTGTGAATCGCGTCACGATTGAACACGAGCTGTGCGTGCGTTGCACGCAAGGTGGTATGAATCGTGGCATTCATTGCAAAGCGAACCGCCGTGAGGACTCCATCCCAGGATCCATTCACGAGGTCGTCTTGGCACTTGATGTTTTGAACAGCGATCAAGTTGCGTATGGTTTGATGAGCACGCTCGACCATAGAGTTGGCTTGAGGGTTACGCGGTGATGAACTTGCGACGAAGTCCATTTCATCCCGGAGTGTCTTTTCGACCTCTGCGCGGAACTCACGTCCTCTATCCATGATAACCTCAGCAGGCCATGGATACCGAGTGAGCCACGTTTGTTTAGGACGATGGCTACTTCGTCTGCTGCCTTGGAGCAGATCTCTGCAATCTCGAACCATCCGGTTACGGGATCAATCATTGTCAAGCAATGAAGTGTGCAGGAATTCCTTTTTCTTGGGATCCCCGACGTTGTAAGGGCCTATCAGGTCAATACATAGTCTTTCCCAAGGGATCTCCTCGCAAGTCTTTGGAGGCATCAATCCCAGCTTACGCGTCTTGGGTTTGTTCATCTGGCAGCTTTGGCAACGCTGACATACGGCCTGCACAAGTCCTGCGCAGCCCTTTCCAGGTGTAGTGTTGGCTGATGGTTAGTTCCGTGCGAGTCTCGCCAGGATGCATCAGCACACCATGGTACCATTCAACTAGCTTCTTCTGCATAGTTTTAGGTACGACGATTTTCTGTCCTTAACTACTAAGTCGTAGGACTTATCCCCTCTGGGGAAAGATTGCTTCTTGTAGTCGTTTGGCTTGTCCCTGAAGGAGCTTCTTGATATCGTTGTCGTCTTTCTGACGATGTTCGATCTCGGGGAACGAGAGAGGGAACTCGCTAGGGAAGTCCTCTTCGTCTGCAGCCATGAGTTCAGCGATCTCGCTGGCGTCCATCTGTTCTGAAGAACCGTCGTTGTTGGAGATGTTAAGTCTCGACAACGCATCAGCGACGATGTTCTGTTCGCCCTTGATGTACCGTAGTTCAGGGCCGTATTCTTCCAGAATAAGGCGCCATCGCATTACGCGATCGGTATTGAAGTTCTTGCATGTAAGATTCTTGTGGTCCGTATGTACAACGATCTTCTGTCCTAGAGAGAATGTTACGGAACTCTTTCAGAGTTTCTACGATACTGAGAAGTTCCTTCTCGGTAACTGTGTAACGTGTCTGAGCAGGGTTGAGCTTCCTGCTGTAGAACGCGATGGTTTTCCCTTCTGGGAAATTACCGCACCTAGTTGAGTATCACTCGCATCCGTGTGGATAACGAATTATCGTTGAAGTCAGGGTAGGCGAGCAAGGTTTCTTTGCTGATGATCTTCTTCATCTGGCTAAAGGCCTTGTCGTGTTCGGCTTCCCATTTCCACTTCGTTGTTTTGGAAGTCAACGAAGCGAGTGGGGCAGTACATGTGATCGTCTAATCCACATGTCTCGATAGTAGTTCACTAGTCCAATGAATCTACGGAGTTCCTTCCTGTTGGTAGGAGGAGCGATATTCTTGATCGCGTCTATTTTCTTGGTTATAGGTTGGATCCCTTCTCGAGTGATCCAGTAACCTAGGTACTCAAGTTCTCCTCTTGCGAAGAAGGACTTGGTAGCATTGATCTTGAGCCGGCTTCTCGAAGCCTTCGGAGAACTTCATCCAACTTTTCAACGTGATCTGCTAGATCGCCGTGTTAGGATGAGTAGATCATCAATGTATGCACGGACGTATTCTAGGTCGTGCATTAGTGTTCCCATCTTCTCTTGGAAGATGTCGGGACTATTACATAGGCCATTGGCAACCTCTGGTACTCGTACTTTCCCCACGGGAGTACGATGGTACAGAGTTGTTTCGAGTGAGGTGAACAGCTCGATGTGAATAGTATCCCATGTTCAGTCTAGACTAGTAGCGTACTTGAATCCGTCTAGATTCAAGAGCATGTCCTGTATTTTTGGGATAGGATAAGGCTTCCGCTTAATCCTTTTGTTCAGTTCCCGAAATCAGAGATGAATCGTACAGATCCGTTCTTTCTTGGGAATGATGAAAGTTGGTGCCCCCACTCGGAACGGTTTACCTTCTTGAGTACTCCTGCCTCGCAGAGACGTTCAACCTCCATCTTAAGAGTGTTTGTGATGGACCCGTGGAATAGGGTAAGCCCTTGCGTGATAGGGTTTAGCATCAGGGAGAAGTTCTACTTCGTAGTCGTCCATCTGCCACTTTCCCAAAGTACCATCGAATAGTCAGAGTACTTCGTCAGTAAGGATGAAGCTGTTCCTTCTCTTCCGTGTTTAACTGATCTTGACTTTGGCAAACCTGCCTTAAGTCAGCTTGTTCGTATTTCGCCATCAAGAATCTTCTTGAGACGATCTGCACTGTCATCAACAGCGGTAGGATCAGGAATGAAAAAGTTTCTTCTTCATTGGTGTCGCTATCTTTCATAGGAATAGATGCGCCGTCCCATTCCACTGACATGGTAGTGAAATCGAACTTGACAACCTAGCAGAGAGTTCTCGACCTATGATCATGTCAATACGCCCCCAAGCTCTTGGTGACGTGTAAGTCCCACTCGATAATTCTATCTTCGTGGAATTCAGGAATCATAATGCACCTTTGCACTTCGTGCTGGTGTTTAATTCTCCTGCAGGGGTAGTCCACATCGTTTGGACGCCCCCAAGATCCTTCATGCGTAATTTCTTAGCATGAGGTTGAGCAATCAAGGTTCCGGATGCTCCTGTATCCAGCAAGCAACGGAGTTGTAACGGGTTTTGGTTTCCCTTTTTCTCGCTTGTTAAATCTAACATAAACGATGGGTTTGAGGTCTCTTGTCTTGCGACGTTTACGAGGTGGTTGGCCACGGACGAGGTTAACGATGCTAAATAGATCATCAGAGTCTAGTGAGCAGCTTCTAGGCAATCATCTAATTTGCCGTAGAGTTCATCAGTTGCAAACAATTCTTGTTTACTAGTTAGTGAGATATCTTCATCACTTTGTATGAGAAATCGGAACAGGGTTCCGTTGAGTCATCATCTGGCCTAATCCTCAGATAAGATTTCTCCATCCAAGTGATTAAATTGATAGAGGAGTTGTCCTCATTGTCAGAGTTTTCTGATTTGCGCTTGGCAACATGGTTGCGAAGTCTGCAAGTGGTGGCACGAGTGTCGTCGATCTCGTGTTCTTCGTCATTGTCGACGAGAGGAAGAATGGTTTGTCACGCAACTGT